GTAACTCCAGCTAGTCGACCAACCGACAAAATGTCACCTTGTTTTTGCCATCCTCTTCGTCGAAAACTGAAAACTCGTCTAGGGAAACTCGAGCTCGTTCGAAACTCGGCTTAGAGATTCGAAGGTGTTATAGGTTCTTCGACGATTCCATGGTAACTTCTAGGGAATATCGTGAAAAGAAGTTTGTAAATTGGATATATACGATTTTACATTACAGTTTTATAATTTAATATTAAGAAAATTATATATTTTGTATCTTAGAAAATAGAATCGTTAAATAACATATTAGTGTACAGAGAAAGAAAATTTGTAAGTTAAATGTGCGTTTGATATTAAGAAAAAAGTTTTATAAATTAAGAAGTGGAATTATTAAATATGTTAATATAACGAAATTTGTAGGTTAAATGTGTATATTATTATTAAAAAAGAAATTTTGTAAATTAAGTAATGAAATTAAATTTTATTTAGTAAGATAGATTTAAATTTATAATAATATATATAAGACAAATTATAAGATATTTTATTTGGAAGCATTTTATAATAAAAAATTGACATGTACTTGCAATTGATATGTTTGGAAAATATTGCTTATTAAATGATGAATCTATAATTGATACTAAATTTTAATATCCAAGTTATTGAATTTTGTATTATTTTCTATATTATTTTCTATTTAAAACTTATTATTATTTTTTATTTCATAATTTTTTGTTATAAATTATTTGATCTTCTTATTTGAACATGTATGCTTGTTATTTTCTTACTAAAGAAATTTCAAAGAAAAATATTTTTTTTCTGTTTTGAATATCAAATATAGTAAATAGAGTAAATATCAATATTTTTTTTTTGTATTTAAATCTTTTTTAAAAAAGTTACTTTTTGTATAAAATTATTTCTTTATATTATACAATCTATATTTTTTATATTATTTTTTATATTACATATTATTCATTATATAATCTTTTCTAATTATTAACATTTATCTTAAACTTCTTTTTAGAAAGAAATAATTAAGTTTAACATTATCATGGATTAAATTAATTTTTTTCTTTTTACTTTTTTTTAAAATAATTTATTTAAAAAAATAAAGTTAAAGTTTTATAATTTCTTTATGTGAATACGAAGAAATTAATTATATTAGAATAATTTATTTGAAATCATTTAACTTTTATTTGAAATATTTTTTTCTATGAATAATAACAGTGACATAAATAAAAATAATAATGTTAAATGATATATTTTGTATATTCCTGAAAAAACATATAAGAAGTAAGTATTATAACTATGTATTAAGTAAATATAAAATAGATAAATAATTATATATTTAGATATAATCAAAATGATAAAAAAAATGTTTTATTTTTAATAATATGATAGAAAGTTAAATATAAAAAAGATAAGTATATTACAACAGGTAAATATTTCAAATTTCAAAAAATTTTTATGTGTTATTTTTTATAGAATAATATTTTTTCTACTAAAATTAAAAATGTGAAAAAAAATTTGTGTTTCAGAATTCTTGAAGAAACTTTGATGCCAAAAATTTTAATTTTGTATTAAGAAAATATAATTTAATAGAAGATGGCATGCAAAATTTTTTAAAAATTTCTAAATCCAAAAATTTTTAATTAAATTTTTTTATCAGGAGAGATGGTACGCAAAATTTTTCCAGGAATTTCAAAATAGAAAAGTTATCTATATCTTATTTGTTACATTTGATTGCTATTTATTTTAGTTTTTAATCGTTTGTTTAATAGTTTGTTGTTAATTCTAAAAATACTTATACAATTTTTTTATACTTATTTTTTGCAGGATTTTTTTCATTTTTCAATAGTTTTCTTAATTTTAGAAATATTTATTTTTTATAAATTTAAAAAGATTATATTTAAAAAGAGCTGCCATTTTTTTGAAATATTGGACATTTTTAATTTTTTTTATTCTGGAAAATTCAGTAATATATATGGATGATCCAATTTTAATTTTCTCATTTATTTTTCATAATATTAAAGAATCTGAATGAAAATTGAATAATTCAAAAAATAATAGCTGAATTTTTTTATCTAAAAAATTTATTTCAGTAAAAATTTCAATAAAATTTCAATCTACTTTTTTTTTATTATTATTAATATAAATTTAATTTGTCAATATTATTCTTATTCTCTTTCATATTCGATTCTTAAAAATTTATTTCGTAATACTATTCTTTTATAACTCATTCCTATATTTATTTCAAGCAAAGTTATTAAAATACTTACGAAAAGTTTCTCACTATGATCTACTATTTACAAGAATGAAAAATATATTGTGCAAAGTTACGAACTTTTTCTTTTCGAAGTTACGCTCTTTGAAAACCGCGCGCAAAGTTCCATCGACTTCTCCGTTTAATGATCCAGATATAGTATAGTCTTTGTACGATAAAAGAAGCACAGAAAAAAAAGAAAGAAAAAATATATAAAACTGTATAATTGTAAATATTTCTTTTTAGAATTTCAATATTATATGTATAATTTATAATATTTTCCTTAAGCATTCTAGTATGATTCTGAAAAAAATTTTCTTTCAAGTTCTTGCATACCTAGGTAAATTCTTATGTACATAAAAGCATTGATGCGTGCAAGATATAGAGTTTAACGTCAAGAAGTTAATTTGTTTTACGATCGATCTTAAAATATCCATGCTAGCGCTTTACTTAAAACCTTAAATACTTTGACACTTAAATATCAATAATTGACAATAGTGGTTTTTCCAATATTTTAAATGTTATTTCTAGTTTTTCAATATTTTAAATATTATTTTGATTTTCATTATTTGGAAGTCGTATCATAAATACAACGTAACATATACGATTATATTGAATTGAACTTAATGCAATTACCTAAACATGCGGTAGATGCATTAATTTAAAACATTTATCATTTTGAAAAAAGTCCGTGAATTAAGAACTCAGGTACAAACAATACGCAAAAGTTTCATAGGTGCTTGATCTCAATAGCATGCAACAGCAATTAGTCCTCTTATCGGTGCAATTTCATTAATAAACTATGTTACTGCCCTATTTTTACTGTCTGGAAACTAATGTAGTTATGTGTACCAACGTGATGTATAGAATTATCATAGATTTGATATACGTGTAGAGAAAAAAAGAAAAAAAAAATATTGAGAATTGTTTTACTTATTTTTTTTATGGAAATAATTTACATATAAGCAAGATGAGAGATTAAATGAAGAAATAAATTATTTTCAAGATATTTCTTTATTTTTTATTAATAATCATTATTTACATTATTTTGAGTTTATTTGATCAAAATAAATTTTATATGTAATTCTACGTATAAATAGAACATATAAAATATTTTTGATCTAACATGAATTACTATTTTTAGAAATTTATTTTTTTTTCTTGGAATATTTTATTATAATCTTGATTTATCTTTTTCGAGATCGATTATTTTGGTTGTAAAAATTTATTAACTTAAGAGTAAGATTAAGATATATCACAAAATGAAAAGAATTAAATTATTTTAATAATTTATTAGCTAAAATACAAATTGAATTCTTATTAATAAAATAACTGATAATATTTATTCATTTAAAAATCTTTCCAAAATAGAATATATATATATTCTTTAATAGAAAAATTAACATTTAATCTAAAATCGAACCAATTTCAATCTCTATTAAAAAACATTTTGAAGATCACAAACTTTTTCAAACGTTAAAGTATACATTACCAATTTAATTTAAATGGATATATAATAATCACAAAATATTAAATAAAATAATATTTTTAATAAAAAGAAATTAATTTCCATTTTCACTTGATTATTTAAACTTCAACAGTTTCAAATATATAGTACAAGAAACAACATAACCTAAAATTCAAGAAACTTGACGCACATCATATTTTTCTTATTTCTCTTTTTTTTTTTCTCTTTTCACAAACGAAAAAAGTATCGAACAAAATATAGAATTTCAGTTATCTATAAACCTTTCCTAACCTTTCTTTTGTGGTAAGGTTGTTGCTATTCTAACGAAACCATGAATGAAAGAAAAAGAAAAAACAATATAAGGAAAAGGTTCGCCGACTCGAAAAAGTTTCCGCCTCCCGCGCGTATTGAAACAGTAATGATATGGGAAAAAGACGGTGGGATAACGAAATGAAAACACGTGCTGAACATCCGAGAATCGTCCAACTTACCGGTGAGTTGCGTCAACGCCGTTTACGCGTTATAGCGGTTTCGCCTGGGGAGCTATATGGCAGCGCTATGCACCGGAACTTCCGGTGTATAGTCGAAATAAAAATCCGACAGAGCATAATTGAGCACATAAATGCTTGTAAATACACGAATATTGTTTTTGAGCTTTATAGACGTAATTAATATTATTTTTTTTAAAGAGATTCATTAGAAGTAAAATATATAAAAAATTGTAAATAAAAAATAAAAGTAAGATTAGAAGTGATTGAAATATAATTTCATTTTATATTGATTATTTTATTCAAAATTCTAAAAAATTTAAAAAATTAAAATGAGAAAATAAATTATAGTCATTTTTTTTAATCAACGTAAAATTTTCTAAAAAAATTAGTTATTTATAAATTTTCAAATTTTATGTAATAAGCTTGTCAACTTTAATAACATATAAAAGAATGTATTAAACAATTTCACGCTTAAATAGAACAATTGTTGGAAAGATAAAGAAATTAATTGCGATTATAAATTATTACGTTAGTGTTTTATTAATTTATCAGATTGGCTTTTTTGTGTATTTTTACTATAACAGTTGATTTTGGACAGTGTAACTGTTCAAATGTATATTCTTGCATATTTCGCATGAAATATATGTTTAACACAATGAACATATTTTACTAACTGGTATTTCTACTTCGTGACGTAGAAATTACAAAAAGCAAATGCTCGTTTAAAATATTTAAATGAAAACATTTATTCATTATTTGATCAATAAATACAACATTAATAAATTGTTCCAATTGCTAATCAATAGGTAAAAGATATAGGATAAAAAAAGGATTTGAGGTTACACGCAAGAACGTTTGTTTATAATAAAACTAAGTATCGATCAAATATTAATCGAAAATAATCGAGATAGCCACACTATATGAACAAACCTGTATTTTTCCTATTCTAAACTATTGATAATAAATCATAATCGAATATTTCCTAACACTATTGCAACTTATATACAACACATACTAACATAACCTCAATTAGACATAATAAACGATTACGCCATCTTGAATATCGAATGATTTTTCATATTTGCTTCGGTTGTCTGTATAGGCCAAAATAACTGCACAGTTTTATCATACACATGTATTGGTAGGCCTGCATAGGCATGCCTGTACAGTCATAATTGACAGACTTACCGGAACGTCGTGTGGTCGAACATTATTAACGAACATCATTTCCGGAAGGAAAAATATTATCCTCCGTCGCGGGGCTGGCTTGTCACTGTTTCATTGGAAAATCGATTCGGAAAACATCGCTCCGGGGTGAAGATAGCGGCGAGATTACCCGGACAGTAGTGAAACGCAAAAGATAAAATGTCGTGGTGAATTTTTGGCTGTTGAAACATACGACGAAAACCGCCGGAATGACAGGTCATATCTGGTTCTGCTTCTTATTGTTCTTAACGGGCTACTGTGATTGCTCACTAACGGGGACAATATCATCGTTCCCGATAAACCTCGAGAACAATCCTTACTGTCGTATTTGCCCCAATCACACCATGTGCCGATTTCCGGTACGTACATAATAATATTTCGGTGACTCGATTTATTTATTTAATAAATACGAGGACTTGTTCGGAATATCATTGGATCTCATGTTTTCATTTTTTTGTATTCGATTTGTTTTTACGAGAATTGTTATTTGTACATAGAATTGTACATTTATTATTTGAATAGATTTGCGTCATTTCTTATAGTTCGTTAAAATTAAGTATTCAAAGATAGACTTCGAATGTGATAAAAAAAAATTAAGTTTTCAGAAAGTATAATGAATTAACTTTGGATATAATAATAATTTATTAGAAACAAATATAATTTTTTTAATAGTTATTAAGTATTTATAAATGAAAATAAGTGTATTTTTTATCATTTTTAATAATAATTTTAAAAATCTCACAATATTTAACAATTTGGAAATTATTATATTTCTTATAAAATTTCTTTTAGAAATATAAATTTGCATAAATATTTGCATATAATAATAATTATTTAATATTAAAATATAAAAAAAGTGAGAAGAGAGAGGAGGATGTAATAATGTAAAGTAAACGAATATTATGAATAGCAAATTTAATTTAAAATATCTACAAATGAAAATTAATTGAATTATGGATTATTTAAAATTTATATAATATATTTTATAGATTATATAAAATTTTATTGTAAAATTTTAATTAAAATTTTATTTATTTTAACTCTATATTTTTTTTTATAAATTCTTTTATAATTTTAAATAATTAATTACAAATTAATTGTATGGTAATATATAATCCTAATTAATGCACATTAAATAAACCATCATAATTTGAAATGGAAATGAAATGAAATTATCATTGAATTGGCCAATTTTAATATATATTTTCTATATTAACTTATATAATGTCAATGTCATTTATTTATTCTATTGATGAAATTTTTCATTAACATGGTAAATATTAATCATTCCGAGTAAACGTGATAATTTCTGTTTAATTGACTGATTTGACGAATCAGAAACTGCTGAATAAGATTATTGATTAATCATTAATCATCTATTGTTTATTTTCTATTGAATTCATAATTTATCAAATATGTATCATTAAATTATAACAATTGAAAACTAAACATGAAATTAAAAAAACAGCTCAAAAATAAAAATGTTAAAGTAAAATATTTTTTAATTATTATATTATTATTTATCATAAAGTTTTTATAATCTTTCATTACAATATTTTTAAAAAAAAATTTAATAGGCAAGAATACAAAAATAGACCTTAATAGTTGCAAATTTGAACACATGAAATACACAAGATATTTTTTATTTATTATATTACCTTAATTTAATATAACTTCGATTATATTTTCTACTTAATGAAAAATGAAATATAACTTCTTGCCTATTAAGAATTATTTTATTTAAGAATCCAATAGTTTCATTGTTATTTGCTCTCCTAATCTTTTTTAACTGATAATAATTAATGTAGAATAGATCTCTTAATAAATGATTTCATTTTTTTATAATAATATGAAATATAAAATTTTTTGATAATTTCATTAAAGAAAAAGAAGACATACCTTGTTTTTAGTGCCATATGAAATAACGTTGTAATATGAAAATCATTTTCTAACCTTAATTTTCACAATTTCTAATATTATTTTGCGAACGGAAAATCATATTCTTTTTGAACATTGATTTTCTTTTTTTTTCATTATTGTCTCATCGAAATTTTTATTTTGAGATGAACAAACGATACGATGCTGGCGATAATAAATATGACCGAAATTAGCGAATTGAAAATATAAAAATCCATTGCAGGTGCGAATTGCGCAACAGAAAATTTGGAACGACGACACTACTCATTATTGTCGATCCGGTATCACGCACACAATGCGTTTATTCTCGGTGTACATTTTCAGGATAGAAGATCGTGCCACTACCCATGAAGAATAACGCGAACACATTCAATCCTCGAAATTTTATAGAAAAATATGGATTCTTGAGACGAATATTAATTCGCGTCAAATATGAACTGTCGCCAGATGCACGTCAGTGCTACCACCTTGATGTTGATGAAAGTGAAAAATTGTAAAAAATTCATAATCTTTCATTGAATTTTGTGTAACAATATTATTTTGTCATATGCTATTTTTTGTGTAATATTAAATTTTTATTTCTGATAAATATTTAGAAATATTTTAATTAATAAGTATATATTGATGAAAATTTCTTATTGATTTAAGAAATAATTCAATTTAAATTTATCATAGTGATTTAAAAATTCAATATCAATTGAAGATAATAGATAAATAAATAAAGCGTAATTATTGCATTGTAATCTTCTATAATGTAAAATTTTTGATTCTGAAAGTATACATGAAAAATTTTATTTTTTTCGTACTTTTATCTTGAGATGATTTAATTTGAATAAAATTCCTTTACAAAAGTTCTATATATCATATCTTCTTGAAAATGATTCTCATAAATTAAAATATCACTATTGCAATTACTATGTCACGTTTTCTCTGCTTTAGGCATTCTTATTTTTGGAATTGCGATTTATAATTAATAACAAAAAGTTGTTTATATAATTGTATATAATACGGAATCAAATGAAATATTCAATAGGAAAGGACATATATTATTATTTTTATATCATGTTAAATATTAGGTTAGCAAATAGTATTTCCAAATTAATTTTTTTTTAATAATATGCTTGATGATTATATTAATTTTTAATATTTCTTAAATTTAACTAACTAATTTATTCAACAAAACAAAATTAAATAATGGTTATATTTTGTTACTCAACTTTTTAGAAATGAATTATTATTTCATATATTTTGTATGCACATTGGTGTGAAATGCGACAAGAAGTTTCGACGTTGGATCGGGCAGCGCAAAATTTCAACTGGTTTAAATTTATGAAGCGAGAAAATAACGATGTCAAGTACGCGATATATCGAAAATACCTTTCGCGGTAAAGAGTCGAATACTGTATTAACGATGACTATCGGTGTACATATATGTGTGAAACTACGATCTATGGAATTTCGAATAACGATGCCGTTCCTTAACATCATTTGTACCAATTACGTTAACTTTCTTTTATTTTAGCATCGTTTGCGTATCAAATTTTTTCTTCTCAAAATTTCGGATCTGTTGGCTTTTTCATAAAATCATTATTCAATTTAAAATATATAATATATATATTATATATTTATATTTATATAATTATTTATTTTTATTTATTTATTTTTTTATATAAATTAATTTTTATATAGATATATAATATTTAAATGAAATAAATAAAATATAATGTTATGATAAATTAATAGAATATCAATAATAATACAATAATTATTTTCAATATTTGTACTTTATAAATAAAAAACTTTCATTTATTATTTTATTTAATTAAAATTGTTACGATGATTCTAATAATTTTTGTTGGAAATATATTCAGCATAGAATACGTTTCTATGAAAGTTTCTTACCTATATCAACATACATATATTGGAAGACCACATTTCGCTGTCGTGTTCAATATTTTAGTTACAATGATTTATACTCGATACATAAATTATACTATATGTATTATATTCATATCGTTGAAATCGAACTTTTGAAATATGGATATGTTAGAAACAGATTACATTATACGTGACCATCTAGTACTTTGTAACTGTTTTCAATTGTGTACGTGTCACATAATGTTATATAATTATAACAATTTGAACAAGATAATTTGAAATAAAATATATATAATAAAGTTTGCTTATATATGTAAATTAATTATCAATATACGATAACAATTTTATGTTAAATTTTTTTTAGTCTTTTTTAAATATTTCAAAAATTTATTTTTACTTTCGTCAGAATAAAAGACTATAAACTGGTTATTTAAACTCGAAAAAGATGAATAGAACAGTAGTCTTTTTTATACGCTCAATCAATGACAATACAGAAAACAGCTGAGAAGAAACCTTTCGATTAAATACCATTAGTTCGATAGCTCTCTGTTGTTATTTCCCTTTAATCTAAGTTTTTGCAGTAGTTTTTAGTATTCTCTGTGATTTTCATTTCAATTATTTTCTAAATTTTATAGCATTTTTTCATTAATCTACCTTGTTTCTATTATTTAAGATATTACAAATGTAGTTTTTATTCATTGTGTATATAAATTTTTTTATATAAAAAAAATTTGTTTTTTCTAGTTATAAAAAATATACTACGTGTTCATGATAAACTCAAGTAAAAATACTTCCTCTACACATCAAAGCGAATCTGATGAAGCAACACATCAAAGCTTTGCCTAAAGAAAATACACTATAAAGATACTTCCAGTATCTTTCCACCAAATTCGATAGCATTCTTCACTATGAAAATTTTGAACAGGTTATTTTTATAAAATTCATAATTCAATGACTCAATTTGAAAAATGTCGTGATATATTGACATTCTGATTCGAGTTCAATCTTGAATAATTTTTAGAAAGTGTCTCAATATATGTCATAATATAATTATAATTATAATTATTTATTTTATATTATATTATAAGTATATATAATTACTACATAATTATAAAAATAGTATACAAAAATAGTATATAATTTTTTCAAGATAGATCAGAAAGATTCAGATGAAATCGAACAAGATCTCGATAATTCAATTTAATTTAAAAATCTAAGATTATCCGATCGTCCAAGCAGATCCAAAAATGAATCTTTCAGAATCTTAGTAATAGATCAATAGTAGGTATTTTCTAACTTTAGTAGATATCTAATCTCACGCGAATATTTCCAACTAATCTTGAAACTCAGATTCTCAACATTTGAGACAATCTCTATT